TTGAACTACAAATCTCCTCCATTTATCTATCTACCTCTGATATTTTTTTTGTTTTATTACCTCATAATCAAATCAACAACAACAAAAAAATGAATAACTTCGTCTTATTTTACGTTACGTTTTCATCAGAACACAATATACAAAAACTACTTCGTCCCTCTTTTTTTACATTGTCTATTACTGAGAACGTTGACAGTAGATTTTTATTAGACTAAAATGAAGTAGTTCCTTTAAATTTGGCAGTTTTTGTTTGTTTGTTTTATTGAAAAAGATTAGTAGATTTTATTAAAATCTTAAGTTAACTCAAGAGTAAATATACATACAATGTGAAAAAGTATTAAAGAAGAAAACCGGCTTTTTTTATTATTTGTTTTCACCATTTGAATACATGGTACTGTAATGTTACTTCAGGTAGACTTCTACCTGAACCACAAATCTTCTCCACTTATATATCTACCTCTGATACATTTTTTGTTTTATTTCCATCACTGTATCATATATGCTATTACTATTAAATTTGGTTTTGATAAAGAGAATGAAAAAAACAAAGCAAATACACTGTTTAATGAGATTTGCATGTTTAATTTAATCAATTTTGGCCGTTCATTTAGTTTACATCAGACAATTATTATTATTGTCGTTGTTGCTAAATCTACTTTAAGACAATTCATTTAATGTTGGGTGATCACTTGATTTTATTTATCGAATTCAGTTAATCAGTTTGTAATGTCACTATTAAGTTAACTAACTAAATGGCTTTTATGTGATACTGTGGTGTGGGTTACTTATCTCCACACATGTAGTATATAACGGTGTTCAGGCATAGAATGTATTTTAGTAGAAGGTCGATGAGGAAAGAATAGTAACAGAACGCATGAACAATGAAATTCGAGACAATGGATTGATATTTGCAACAGGAACAGTCAAGTTTGAGATGATGGATTGATATTTTGCAAATTAACAACTTACTATATGGTTCTCAGATTTTAGTGAGATGTTCTGTAATTTTATGTTCAAATACATTCGATTGACCGCACTTGTGATTTTGTTCACTACAATATCATGTGTTTGAATACAATAAATACGATCTCCAATCACATCTTATTATGGTTTTTATTTGATTGTATTTTTTTGTTTTGAAATAGTGGGGAATTTTCAGTGTGTAAAAATACGAAAAAATTCTTTTTATACTTGCATTCCATTTTATAATTAGATTACATTTTACAATAGTAATACTAGAATACATTTTTACGATTATGTTAATGAGTTACTAGTCTGTGTTCGTAAGGAGTAAAAACGTACTATCTGCTTTATATGGTTAATGGTTGATGAACTTTTTTTCGCCTAGTCTCTGACTGACTGTTTGACTATTCTCATCAACATGTGTTCTCTGAATTATATGATAAATAAGTATTTGTAGAGATTCATCGGTTAGCCTTAATGACTTGGTTTCGTATTTACGATGTACTTCTACTGAATGATAGTGAAAGGTCAAATTTTTTTTAAATATATTATTTATATCAAATAAGATACTATTGATTAATTTCAACAGTTGAAATCATCAGTCAACTGGAGCTAGACCACCATGGAAAACCTGGAAGCACTGATAGTAACTCACTGATGACAATGGTGGATGCGTCTCTCAATTTTGTGGACTAGTTGAAGTTAGACATTACCACAACTGGATGCCGGCTCACTGGTATACTGGTTAAGCACCTGGCGTGGGACTGATAGGTCCTGGGTCACAGATGCGCACTGCTGAGGAGTCCCACAATAGGACGAAACGGCCGTCCAGTGCTTCCAGGTTCTCCACGGTGGTCTAGCTTCAATTGACTCATGATCTGAACTGTTGAAATTAGTACAATCTCCACAAAACTCCTTCTGATACTATTGATTAGTTTTGTCTAAACTCTTCAATCAAGTTCATAATCATCTCAGAATCTATACTGAGAGCTGAAACAATTATTAGATATGTATTGTTGTAAAATAAGTGAAACAAGTCATCAAGATTAAAAGTAATCATTGATAAATGAGTATAAGAAAACTGCAACAAAACAATCCATAGTTACAAAGAACTAATAAGCTTTACTAATGATTTACACTTTTAACAAAGAAAAATGTTACTATTTCAATTCAATACTCAAATTAACTTTTTTTAATGAAATCAATTAAAAATCTTATTCGGATCTTTAGGAATCTGAATCATAAATCAACGAAAAAAAAAATAGGAACTATTTCCTGAAAGTAATAATCAATAATTATTTATTTCAAGTAATTAGTCTAGTACTAGTATAGCGGTTGTGAAGATTATTAAGTTTTTGATTGAGATCATGAACCGATTGATGTTTTAGACCAGTGCTTTCAGGTTTCCAAAGGTGGTGGTCTAACATCAATCGGTTCATGATCTCAATAATTAGTTTATGTTATCTCTTTGATGTTTCTTTTTTTTTTAACTATAATCATTGGTTGAGATGAATGTTTTTTTCTCTCATTAAATCATAACACCCTCCTCTTAAATGAGTGAATTTTTTAAGGTAATCATTATTATTTGATATATTTCTTTTTTTCTGTATCAACAACAACAAGTTGTAGTTGATCTTATCATATTCTGTTTGAAAAAAAAATGAACAAAACAGGATTTAATGAGATGGATATATATCTCTTCCTACTCATTTCTATATTGAATAACAACTAAATGTTTTCTATACTTATCAGATTAGATAGAATCAATGGAATATTAATTTATACAAATGTAGTTGAGTATTTGGTTATCTCTATCTTAATCTTCACATCCATCATTCCCAATTCGTTGATCGTAATTACCTTGATAACACCCCCCTTATTACACATTATATTCACACAACAATCTTATTATTATTATCTCAATTGACATGATACATTTCTCCTACTATGTATTTTCTTTATACAAAAAAGTTTTTTGCATTTTCAACTTTGCTATAATACTATTCTCTATTTATTGTGACTGAACACTTTACTCCAAATCATCCTAACCTTTATTGAATGACCTTTCTAATTTGTCAAATATTAAAATTTTGAAGTATACATATATATATATATATATATATATATATATATATATATATCAGATGGGTTTTTTGTGGAGATTGTAATAATTTCAATGGTTAAGATCATGAGTCAGTTGAAGCTAGACCACCATGGAAAACCTGGAAACACTGGACGGCCGTTTCGTCCTATTGTGGGACTCCTTAGCAGTGCTCATCCACGACCTCACCCCCTGCGAGATTCGAACTCAGGACCTACTGGTTTAGCGCCCGAGCACTTAACAACTGACTCATGATCTTAACCAATGAAATTACTACAATCTCCACAAAAACCCATCTGATATTAATCAAAAATATGCTCACTAGTGACTGGCTTCACGAGGTATATCCTGGAGTTCTAGTAAGAAGTAATGACCAGTGGAGTTCAACCAGGTCTGTTGTGAGGTAGCAACTCACTGAAGACAATGATGAATGTGTCGCTCAATTTCGTGGATTAGTTGAAGTTAGACATTAACACCGTTGGATGCCGGCTCAATGGTCTAGTGGTTAAGTGCTCGGGCGCTAAACCAGTAGGTCCTGAGTTCGAATCTCGCAGGGGACGAAGTCGTGGATGCGCACTGCTGAGGAGTCCCACAATAGGACGAAACGGCCGTCCAGTGTTTCCAGGTTTTCCATGGTGGTCTAGCTTCAACTGACTCATGATCTTAACCATTGAAATATATATATATATCGTAACAGATGTAAACGTGCACCATTTCTAACACATAACATTGTTAAATTCAATAATACTTGCCTTATTTTTGGCCTGTGTAAAATATTATAATTATGGACTTATAACTGTAGAGCCTGATGATGAAGTTATTGAAAACAATTGTTCGCTCAAATATTCTTCATTTTTGAATATTTGATATATATATAACCCTAACTTATATAGGTATCATTATCAATGTTTGACTTGATAATTTAGTAATAATAACTTGGATTAATTTTGATTTAGTTATTTATCCTCTGAAGAAGTGGCTTATACTATGTCACCAAACGTCAGAAAAGTTTATTTATTTATAACTTATGTAGATTTGTTAGATTATTAAAATTTGTGTGCCATATATTTATGATTGTTTGTTGATGTGTGATTTACGAAGAACTGACATCACTGATTTTTGTTATAAATATTTTATAAGTGGTTTAAAATAACTTTGTGTTCTTAGTAGCCCTGGAATATTTGACTCTAATTTGAACGCATGTTAATTATTGTCGAAATATACATGCCGGCTGTCTTCATATATAATCATCGACTTAAATCGAGTTGGTGAATAACGGAATTAAATAAGTCAAATATGATAATTAATTTTGAATACGTGTATTGCATTCAATCGTTAATCCAAACACTTGGTTAAAAATGAAGTGAAGAGAGCAAAGCAAAGAGAATGAAGCAAAATGACGTGCGGTAGAAAAGGCATGTGAGCCAACTCAACTTAAGGGTTACCCAATATTTATAGTCAGGTTGAATAGAGGCGAGACAAGGCAAAAGATAAGAGAGGTGATGCGAATAATTAACAAAGTCAAAATGTGACTCAAGGACAATGAATAGATTCGTCTGTCAGAAACTAGAATAACCTGTATGGGCTCGAAATAGGGTCAGCTACTATCTGTTCTATTTGCAAAATAATTTAATCCCAGAGCTTCCGTTCGTTCTGGACATCTAACCTTATACCTACTTTGTAAACATACTGGATTTTGAGAAGTGCTGCTAATAATTTATTATTAGTTTTAAAGAGCCCACCTTATCCTTAAAGTAGGTGTTGATAATTGTGTACAGAACAATAATGAAACATCTATAATTAAACGATTTAGCACACACAAAAAACAAACACAAAACTATCAAAAATGATCACTAGAGTTAAATATCGGCCTCATCAATAGAATTACAAATTACAATATATCACTCCTTTTTTTATTAATTTAAGAGAAACTTACGTTCATTATAAAAGTTTCCTTTATCTCTCCATAACATCATATTCCAATCAATAGATTCCATATTTAAACATGTTTTTGTAATACTATTCATGTAGTTTTTTAATCTATAAGGATTTGAATAGTGAGATCTTATGAAAGTTTCATTCATTTTATCATCATCATCATCATTATTATTCCAATGTATAGATTGATCATTCATGAAATCCACTGTACTACTATCTTTATCTTTTTCAATAATATTTTTAATTGTTCTCTTAATTATTACTGACGACTCACCAATTCCATACTTTCTATCAGATATTGTATAAATATCAATGGATATAAAAATACCAGTACAAAGAATCAATAAAAATAGCGTAGAATTACGCCATAATATCCAGTTTCTATCATTCTCATAATGTATTAAATTAACTTGTGAATTATCCATTATATTGTTAATTTCTGATGGGTTATTTTTATTACGTTTATTCGTATTGTTTAGGAATTTCAAGTTATTATTACATTGTATTTTATAGGTGTATTTTAAAAGGTAAATTAATTGTTTGGTAGTTCTCTAAATAATGTCTTATGTTTGTGGAAGTGTTAAATAACTTCCTCTCCATTTATCTTTAAATAATCAATAAATATCGATTTGAATGTTACTTATTTCAAATGATTTATTTTTAGTTCCCAGGAGCTCACATTGTCCTACCTAAAGAGCACAAAATCAATAAAGGGACTTTTGAGTGAGATTTCTGTGTTTTTTTGATACTATAAATATGATTATCTTTTACATAAAAGAAAATGGGAAATTGAACACTATCAATGCTAAATTAATAAAGAATTTTAAAACCCAGAAAATTATCCGTGTAGATTATCTAGTTGTAATGCAGCTAACTGTGATTATAATGGGGCCTGGATTTCATCCAATGAATATTGCTCTAGTAAGCATGATTATTGGCTAGTTAGAATCGACCAATCATAAATGAAAGAACAACTATTAAGGTAGACATGGATGGGTAAAGTTAAAACGGTAGGAAAGAAACATTTAAAATTATGATATTAGATACCAGGGATGTTTAGTAAGATTGAAAATTTGGTTATATATGTAATACCAATAATTTCAACTACTCCAGATTGATATTCACATGTGTAACTGAATTAATTATAAACTATGTTAAACACAATTATTTTAAGAATTTTAATAGACCTAATAGAAAGTAAAAAAGACTTTCTTTCACCAATAAGGCTTAGCACAATATCTGTAACTGTCTTCATATAACCTAAAACTCAATTATGACTTAAATAAAATATCGGTCACATTGGAGTTTTTAGGTGTATATTTGATTGTCTCTACACAGATTCATTCAAGTTTTGAACATAAATCTTAATGACAAACAATTCGATTTAGTTTATAATGTGTAATAACAACATTTTTAGTATAACATGGTTACAAACTGAAACAAGGACTAAATTGTTCTTGATAATTACAATCAGTAATGCATCGTTACATAAGGTAAGAAAATCGTATGTATATTAGTTAAAGGAGACAAATCAGAATATATTTACATATAAATAATTGATAATAACGTGATTTTTTCATCCTGTTTCATGCTTAATAATGAAAACCGAAAAATCTGAGTTTCTTTTTTCCTTTTCCAATCGTTCATTTCATCTGGAAACCATACTTTAAATCTGCTTTCTTCCATTTAAGATTAGAAAATGCTTCTTTAATACTTTTAATCCAAACGTTCAAAAAAAATAATTTAAATCGAATTTAATTTCAAGTGTGACCAAATGAGTCTTGTTTCACATCAAAGTTATGATGTGCTATGAATAAATAAATAAATACTACTGTTGAAAAAGTAGAAACCCATATATGATAAGCATCATTATTTCATATGATAGAATCATTTCTCTATAAACTGTTGGAAGTTTTGAAGCTTGTATTAATGATTTAAGGAATGTTATGAGTGTAAGAATATCTAAGATAAATTATTTACGCATAGTTTAATGTTAACAACTACATTTGACAGTATTATTTCTTACTTTCTTTTCAGTATAAAAATGGATATTAAAAACGTATTCCTTATTTTACAAAATAGTTTCATATCACAAATCATATTGACTACAAAAGCGAAAGAAAGAAATAGTAAAACATACACATATAGCATATGACTGAAATACCTTTTCGGTATAATTAAGGCAATATCGATGCATATGCACGGTATGCACATATGCCAATAACACACTGATCAATTACAGTCTTAAAAAACTCAATGAGAAGATACAAACCAAATAATACCAATTGAATTTAAATTCACAAGTGACTATCAGGACTCACTAGCTGAGTGGATAACGCGATGGCGTTTGAAGCGAATGGTACTGGGTTCAACTTCCAGGGTGAACATCAACTTTGAGATGCAGGTACATCCAGCTGACGAGTCCCAAATGGGACGAAACGCGCATCCTGGACTCCATTGCTAGCTACTATCCATCATTGCTTTTCGGTATAATGTTCAAAAAAATAGGTTTAATCTACCATAAAATAAAAATTTCAGATTGTCACTTTTCTTTAGACTGATGTATTACTGATTGTACATCATTGAAAAATTCATATTCAATTTAATTTTCAATGACTTTCTGTCTTTAATAGTAGAATGTTTTTCTTTTGAATGCAAACTTACAGTGACTTCTTAAAATATGAAAACCATACATAATATACTTCATTTATACATCTTTTAGCAGTTGTCTCTGATAAACTTCATCGTTACCTTATTCTCGTTGTTATTATATTTACACTCTGTTTATATTCTTGTTCTTCTAAATTCGATCTCAATTTTCTGCTGTCAGGCATTCTACTTCAAACTGATGTTACAAGGGCGGCCTGCTTCAGCATCTGGGCTACCTGTTCCTGCCATCCAGATATTTCAACAAGTTATCTACTTTTGTTTGTTTTAATATATTAATATGTTTATTAATCGCATGATGTATTCTGCTGAGTTTCTGAAAATTGTACAACCTTTCGTTATCAAAGTTACAAAAACCTCAATAAGAGACAATGTGGCTGCTGGCAATATACAGCGAAAAGAAAGCACATTATTCAGATGTTCATTTACTGAACTGCTAACATCTAACTGGCGATCACTAAATATATATCGCCAGGATCGACCAAGAAGAAAGAAACGGAAACTTGTTGAAATACTTTACACTGAGAATTCTATATTGTACCAAAAATATAATATTGAATAAAGCTGATAATAATAATAATAATAATAATAATACTTATATCTGTCAACATAAACAACATACCCTACAATATGTATGTTTTTAATATTCTATGCGTTTTTGTTCTGCTCATTACTCAACCATTGAGATTTCTAGTTCATCGGCTTTTCACCCATGATATTGATCACAACGATAAAAATTTCATGAAATAAGAATTTCTGGTTTAAGTTTCAAATATACACTTTTTGATAGCATAGTCAAATAATTTTATATGAATCATTTAGTGATTGACAAACAACAGATACATACTAACGACATACTACAAATCTTAGATAAATTCCACTGTTATAGAGTCCATTGCCAAAAAGTTCCATACTAGCATGAAACAGTTGTCTAATACTTCCAGGTATTCAGTGGTGGTCTAATATTGATCGATTCATAATCTCAACGAAAAAATTCAACAATCTTTACAATTCTATAGTTATAAATAATTACGAAAGCAATTTTCCCTTTTAAAAAATGATTTCAACAATTCATATTATAAACACTTATTATTATTCGAGTATTTAGTATGGGAAATATTTCTTTTTCTTCTTTGAAATCCCTTTTTCTTAAAGTTTTCCCATTTGTTTCTTTTTTTTCTTACATAGAAATTTGCTAATAATCGATGAAAAAGACCCTTAGGCCATACACTTCTGTTTTTACTCTTTTAACTAAACGTATTAACTTTTACTTAACTAATTTTAATGAAAAATTTAATAAACAGTTTTTATTTTCACAAGTTGAAATCATGAGCCAATTGAAGCTAGACCACCATGGAAAACCTGGAAGCACTGGACGGCCGTTTCGTCCTAGTATGGGATTCCTCAGCAGTGCGCATCCACGAACCCGCCCCTCACGGGATTCGAACCCAGGACCTACTGGCTTCGCGCGCGAGCACTTAACCATTAGACCACTGAGCCGGCATCCAACGGTGTTAATGTCTAACTTCTTCTATTCCTTATATTTTCTTAGTTCAAAACTGTTAAGGATCATATATAAATTGTGCTCAAATTAGAAATGTTGACAATTTGTAGTACAAATACGTAAGAATTAATCATGATTAAGGTGACAAAGTGTATAAAAACACTCTACAATTAAAACAACAAGTTCAGCGAAGGGATCTCTTTTCAACGAATTTTTTTATCAAGCTGTACAATCGTATATATATGAAAAAGTACTAATTCCGTGAGGAAATGTGAACACAATTAATCAAGACGACGTAATAAAAAGATTCTAATACTAGATTACATAATATGAATGATAGCAATAGATTTAGTGAATATAATAAGATAATTAAAATGCTTTATAATAATTAAAGGTCATAGAGATGTAAAAAATAAATAAGGTGATATAATGAGCATTTACGAATAAAACAATGAGAATATAAGACATAAGTAAAGGGGAGAATGGAGTAATAATAATAACAATAATAGGATAATCAAATTACTTAAGGCCAAGGTAACGATAAGACGTAATTCTTTTGTACGCATAGTTCTGGTTTAAGCTCCTGGATGGTAAGAGCTTCAGCTATTTTTAAGAGTTGGATACGAAGAAATCTGGGTAGATTTGAATGAATCATATAAACAACCTTAAATTCATTTTTTTGGATCTGTGGAATGGTTATAGTGGATTAGGTGTTTCAGTATAGAACTACTAACTGCTTTCCTTTCCCCCTTATAGAACCAAGCTGGAATATGTTCCCGTATCCGAGTTGAAAGCGAGCGCTGGCTACGGCCAATGTACCTTGCTCCACAAGAGTAGGTGGACTGGTAGATGCACATGGAGGCGACCAGACACGGAAGCTTATCTTTTATGGATACAGAAAATAAGTTCCTACTCCTGAAGGTTATTCGCAGTTTAGCGGCGTTAAATGTTCTAATAGTTGTTGTTAGACGGTTTTTGATTACGTCTGGTGTTCGATCACCTTTAAATTCCAGACTTATATAAAGGTTTTGCTTCGGAATGGAACAACTAGATTTCTTGTCGTAACTACTTCTATTCATATTCTTTTCTATGAACCGTTCTGGGTAACCATTTTCCGTTAGGGTTTTCTTGAGGAATTCAAGTTCTTCGTTAATGCATTCCTTACTGCATATCTGACGTATTCGATAACATAAAGAGTGGATGAGTTTTCTCTTTCTACTTAACGGAACCCAGTTATATAAGTTGGTTAGCTGG